GGTTGGATGAGTAAGGCTAAGAACAAGGCTTTCAAATGAATTATAATTTAGTTTAGGCTTAGGATTTATTAATAGACTTGAGTCAAATATGGCTCCAACTCCACCACCTCGACCAGTGCTTCGAGGGATATGAGTATTACAGTGACTGGGAGGAGTGGATTCATTTAAGCTAACATAGTCATCCTCCTGCAGCCAGGTTTCATTAAGACAAAATAAATCAATATCATAATCAGATATTAATTCATTGACTAAAACAGATTTAGAGGACAAGGATCTGATATTCAAGAGTCCACATTTAATTATCTTATTTTGGAATGCTGGAGATGTTGATTTAATTTTTATTAAGTTATGATGAACTCCTCTTCTGTTTATTTTATCTTTAAATAATGTAGGTGGACGGGGGACAGACACCGTCTCTATACTAAAGGATTGGGTGGGCAGCTGCTCTAATGGAGGCGCAGAGGAGCGTGTAAGCTCCTCTGCGCCTCCATGCATTTAACTATGGCCCCCGGTGTCGCTAACTTCACGTTTCGTAAAATGGAGCTGCCTATAACCAGAGTTGGCCTCTCTGCGGGTGTGTCGCTGAGCGGGGAAAATCTGTTACAAATGTGGAGTGGTTGGTGGTGTAATGTGGGCTTCAGTTTGGGGCTATGCCTCTTTCGAACAGTCACCCAGCCTCCCGGCTTCTCTGGGGTTGCTGGGGACGGCTAGCTGAAACTACCTTCGGTGGTACCGCACCGGCTACAGGTGACTTGCTCACTATAGCAGCCACTGACTGTTCGGTGGTGCGGTACCGTGCCTCTAAATCACTGAGCCTCGCCTCTAAGGCAACAAATAAACTACATTTATTACAAGTACCATTATCGCTAAAGGAGGGCGAGGAGTAGCTAAACATGTGGCACAGTGGGCAGGAGAGAGCAGGAGAGGAGAGAGCAGGAGAGCAGAGAGAAGCCATTGCTATAGCTAGGCTAGCTAGTGTAACTAACACACTAGTAAAACTATTACGATTTAAAGTGTTGCTTAAGTTAAGAGACCTGTTAGTGCGCAAACAGAACAAGTCTAAAGATAGTCTAAAAATATGCAGATAATCGCTGATGTGAGAAATATACGAAAATCTGTTTAGGTGAGAGGCAGAGAGCACCGTGGCAGTGACACCGACAACCGGAAGTGGCAGAATACGCTTACCGTAATGCAGCGAGTCAATATGTCTCGAGTGTATGCATGTTGTTGTGCCTCTCTTATTTCAAGTGACGCAGGTGAAAGAACAAATCTTATCATGCTAAGCACACTTAGCATTTGGTGTGATATCGCTAAACATACTAGCCAGAGAGAATTTTCATCAGCGATACAACCTTTAACCAAAAATAAAGCTTTCCCTCCAGGCAAAGGAATGAGTATTTTCAATGAGCGGTATTCAAAGGAACTAGGATTTGTTTCTGAATTACCTGCAAATGGTTATTTAATGTAATTCAAACAAATTCAGAATAAGTACAAAATATCACTTGACCACTTTTTTTTTGTTTTTTTCTAAGTGAGGCATTTTGTAAAATCATATCTTACCTTATCTTATCTTCTAATGATCAACCAATTTTAATTCCTATTGAAAGTTTTCTTTGAATTTTTTTAACTGCCTTTAATTACAGGAAATTAATTTCCCTTTTTTATGAATCAGTTATCTCTTTTAATTCTGTTAATGCTGACAGAACCAGGGATTTAAGGACTTGGAGGATAGACTCCGAGAGAGTCAATATAGAAGTTTACACAAGTTGCAGCGTACTCCTCACTTTCTACACAAAATGAATCCTCATAGTTCACCCCTTTGTATGAAGTGTGAAGAAGAATTACGAACCTACTATCTGGCAATGTCCATTAATATCCAAATTTTGGAAAAATCTCGCTAAGGAGCTGAGCTCAATTTTCCACAAAACAGTTACATAAGACCCATTATTGTTTCTTCTGTACACCTAGGGGACAGCTCTCTTTATCCACTTCTGCTTCTAGCAAGGCGATGTATTCTGTGCCAGTGGATTCAGGAGCTTCCCTCGATTACACAATGGTATTAAAACATTTAAGGTTTTTCCAATGGAACATCTCAGTCCTATTTTAAAAGGTAACAACAATATAATATATGGCAGCCTCTTCTTAACTATCTTCCAAGTGATCTTGTTGATCTACTGCAGATAGGGCGCCTGCACCTTGTCTTCACAAATAAGTCATAGACTTAGTTATTTCTTCCTTTGACATGACCCTTGTCACAATGGTTGTTATAATGAAAATGATAATAGTGATATTTATGCATATTTTGATATCATATCAGCACCAGTTTAGAGAGAGATTTTATTTAACCATCAGGTTTATTGTGTACAGACTCTTGATGGCATCTGGTCCCATGTGCCAGCTGTTTTTATCTGGAATATATACCACAGTCTAGATTAACACTATATATCAAATCATAAATACTCTCCAATCCTGGTAAGAATTTAGTAGCCTCATTTGAAAGTGTGAATCTGCATGTATCAGATAATCTCCCATGGCTCCTTGTGAACAGCAGTGTGGACACATTGTGTGTCAGTGAAATCAGCTGTGCAGTAAATGTTTTGAGACTATTTTCAGCCTGCCAGTGTGCTTGTCTGGGCTGCCCTCGGGCACACAGTGGAAGAATGGTGTTACACACATCACCAAGGTGGTCTGGAGAGATTAGCACCCCTCATTACACTGCACCTCTCAGCACTGTGCCTTGGAGGATGCTGGGATCCGCAGGTTTTGATATAGAACTGTACTTACAGTCAAAAGAAAAGTGTTCTGTCATATAAATAACCACACAAAGAAATCATTGGAGATTGTAGCATTCGAGGCATCGTTTGATCCTCCTCCATCTGATCCTGCTGTATGAGTCGAAAGTTGTGAACATGTCTATTGCTTCTTGCTGTGCCACACAATGTCACAGCTATCTCTCTATTTGTCTATCTATCCGTCTATCCATCCATCCATCCATCTATCTATCTATGACTGTTGTATTATACTTCAGTATAAGATAGGTGTTCCTGATTAACTCCTAACAGAGTGTATATGAATATAATGTAGATATAATGTATGAATCCATACATTATAGCTAATTTGCAAATTAAGCTGTTTGACATTTTTAAGCCAATAACAATGTGATTTACAACATGTTCTGCAGCATGAGAAACTTCTTCGTTTGTGGATCACTACACATTAATATTTAGTTTTTTATCCTTGACGAGTGGTGTATTTATAAAGTGCTCTTCTAGTCTTGATGACCAAAAATCAAGCACTCTCCAAGGATTTTAAATTCAAAGAGAATGAAATTACAATACATAGAGAGATTTTACAAGATCGATCCTCATATGAACCATATACAAGAGCGATTTCAGTCTGGTTTTAGAAAGCACCGAAACAGCACTGGTGTGAATAATAAATGACCTTAGCAAAATGCATTTATCCTTACGCTCCTCTGTTTATATGCTGCATTTGAAACATTAGATCACAAGATACTTTCACACTCGAAAGTTGGATTGGTATCAAAGGCTCAGCTCTAAACTGGTTCGAAACATACCTTACTGGCAGAACATATTTTGTTAGCCTCTTTCACAAAAGCATGATAACCTTTACGGCATTCCACAGGGTTCCGTATTTTACCACTGGGAAAAATTAATGACTCTGATGCTCCAAATCAAGTTATAGATTGCCTCTGAAGCGTGGAACAATGGATGAGCAACAATTTTCTCAAATTGAAGAACGATAAAACTGAAATTATTTTAATTGGTACTGATGATCAGAGACAAAAGATTATTAGCAAACTTGGGAGTCTGGGACAACAAAAGTAAAGAACCTGGGTTTTAAACTTTACTCAGAGCTTGATTTTAATCCACACATAAACAATGTCACAAAGATTACCTTTTATCATTTAAGAAATATTGCAAGATTTGGAACAAACTTTCAGCACACATCAGACAAGCTTCTTCTGTTGATAGTTTTAAGAAACAACTCAAGATCTACTTCTGCAATCTTGCTTTTAATTAATTTTATCTTCTTTATTAACACCATTGTTGTTATTGCTGATGTGTTCTTATTGAGCTCTTATTTCATGTCTTTCATTGTAAAGCACTTTGAGCTGCATTTTATGTATGAAAGGTGCTGTATAAATACAATTTATTATTATTATTATTGTTATTATTATTGTTATTATTAGTATTACTGTTGTTATGTTTGCGATGATATTGAGGGGGACAACTCTGGATTGCCCCTGAGTGGTATGCAATTTCAATTTAAAGGGAACGATTAACAGTTTGATAAATAATGTCTACTAATGACCCTAATGAATGGTGTGACTTTACTTTTTAAGTCTGAGCAGTTTGAAAAGGTCACCAAACCAAAGAATGCGTTTATGGTGTTACAACTGGTTCGTGGGCTGCAACAAAGTACAGAGATGCACTCTGCAATCTGTTCTCACAAACTGAAGTTTATAAAAGAAAATGCAAATAATTAACATGGTATGTGGGCTGTCTGTGGCCCAGGGGTGAGAGCAGTCATCCTCTAACCAAAAGGTCGGTAGTTCGATCCCAGTCTTCCCTAGTCTGCATGCCGAAGTAGCCTTGGGCTAGATACTAAACATCAAATTGCTCCCTCTCTTAGACAAAGTGATGCACTTAGATTCACTGCATGAACGTGGGTGAATGTAAAGCTCTTTTAGTGGTTATCAGGACTAGGAAAGCTCTTTATCAATATAGACCATTGCCATTTACCATTTATGTGGTAGATGGGATTTAGTAGTGAATGTGAGTACATAGTTGAAAAAAATCATGGTGTGGAGCATGTTGTGAGTGTGAACGAATAGAATACAAAAAAATATGATACTGGCACATTGGCGTCTGGGTAGACAAGTTTAAGAAACTGGGAACACACATTCATTACATCATTTTATGTGCAAAAGCTAAAATCGTACTGACATGATGTGGCCCTTCCATGTGTTTGTCTAGGCAGTCGGATGGATGAAGTGTCTGATGTAGAGTCGGAGCCTGACCTCCCCCTGAAGAGGAAGCAGCGCAGGAGTCGCACTACATTCACAGCGGAGCAGCTGGAGGAGCTGGAGAAGGCTTTCGAAAGAACCCACTACCCTGACATCTATACCAGGGAAGAGCTAGCACAGAGGACCAAATTAACAGAGGCCAGGGTCCAGGTAACACTGTGACATCCATCTATCCAACCATCCATAATGTTGCCTGTGTCATCTGTGTGACTGTTCCACAATTTTTGCTCTAACAGCAAAGACTCTGTCACTATGTGGTCACAAAATGTGACCTGCATGAAAAGCTCCGTCCACTGATCCATAAGGGGTTAATAAATCATTGATATAATTTAGGGTGAGGCCATGTAATGCTTTAAAAGTTATCAGTACAATTTTTAAATCAATGCACAGTAATGTGTAGTAATATGTCACTAAAGCTTGATGCCAGTTAACATTTGAGAAGCAATGTTCTGCAGCATGTCAAGATTGTGAAGGATGCTTCTATTGACCTGTTCGACTAGAATTATTTGTACATGTACTTGATGTCACATTATTGTGATACTTTACGGACCATCTAGCATTCAACCATACTGTACATTCATACAACTCTCTGCCCTCTCAGCTAAGGAAACTGTTTTGACAGTTCCAGTGTCCCAGTAAATCTCGGGAAAGTACTGTGGAGCTCTGACAACAGCTGTTCAGCAGTGGGGTTGGGGCTGCATTCCTCAAGCATGTCTCACTCCCTAACATCTTGGCTGGAATCGGTTTTTCCCACCACTTTCAAGCGCGACACTCACTGAAACATTCAGAGCAGATCAAGAGTCTGGGCTGTCTCAGGGGAGCTTTAATCCACAGCAGCAACATGGATCAATCAAGAGACAGTAAAACAGAGACAGTGAGAAACCAGTGAGGCTTGAAACCATTGCACTGAACGCTTAACCTGCAGACACTAGTCATCCTACATTCCCTGATGCTTGTTTCATGCAGATATATATAAAAAGAAACAGGTAATCTACACTTGCAAAATCTGGTCTCGAGTCCCCTTTTCCACTTGTTCTTAAGCTTTTAATCCTTTCAAATGGTCGCCACCAATGTTGAGTTGGTTTGCTCCACAAGTAGGTGCGTTGACCTTGAGCCATAGACAGTTTTGTCAGCTGTGGTTTTGTCAACAAATTAACAGTCAAGTGCAAGGACTAAAGTACTGACTGTAATAGAATGAATGTAGAGAGTAATGTCCAGTTAAAATAACAAATAAAAAAGAGGGGTTTGGCACTGATTATGTTAAGGAAACTTATAACCTGAATGATTGCACATATCTCTCACTGGATGGTTGTATAAGGTTGTGGTTCCAGTCCATGTCAATCCAAACCATTTCACATTTAAAGCTTGTCAGATGGGGTGTTGAATGTTGTGCTTGATATAAACAAAAAAGTATACAAGCAGAGACATGTCAAATTTAAGGAAATTGTACCTGAATAAGGAATTTTCTTTTCATGCTACTACTACATATTCAGATATTGTTCTTTTTTGTACTCT